ATTTATTACTGATTGTTTTTGTGCTGGGTGGTGGTGTGACTCAGCATGTAAGTATCTGTCCGTGTGTGTTGTTTTTCTGTACACTTGATGCCCTAGGGTGCCGTTGGCCTCCTTTGACACCAGCACATCTAGGAATGGGAGTTTTCCGTTTTCCTCTATGTCTATGGTGAAACGGATATTGGGATGTTGTTTGTTGAGGTGGATGAGAAATTTTCGGAGTTCAGATCTGCCGTGTCTCCATATCACATAAAAATACAGAGAAGCCATAGAAATACAAAAACACCCTAACAATCTAAACAGGGATAATGGCTATAACATAAGTAAGATATGGAAGACCATCCTCCCGACCAGCAAAGACCGACCAAGATTCCACTATCTGTCTCCCCCATCACTCTAACCCCCCCCCTCCACCACCAAAAAACTCCCACCTCAACAAGTAGCATAACATAAAAAAGGAAGGACCTGGAGGAACTCAGTATCAGGCTGCTCCTCGGCCTGATGAAGTGGACTGCAAGGCCCACGAAACGTTGGCACATCAAGAATGGACCAAGACATGGAGAAAACCCGCGAAGCACAGATTAGTTATATAGAAAGCACCCATGGAAGCATCAAGAAGATTTCTTTAAACCTTTATTTGAAATGAATAATATAAAATAAACACTTAATATACGTTAAGTAAACGTTCAAAAAATGTTTTTTCAAACCATTATTTCAAATAAAAATTAAATTCAAAATAAACATTAAATAAACGTTAAATAAAGGTTTAAACAATGTTTTTTCAATAATTTATTTCAGACGAAAAATTATATATGTAATAATGTTTAATAAACATTAAATAAACGATAAAATTAATGAATTTTGAAAACGAATCGTGAAAAATGTAAATTAATGAAAAATAAACGTTTAAAAAATAAACGTTTAAAAAATATGTGGCGGCTTAAAACACCACTAATCGAGTCGCTGGGCCGCGCGCGCGATCTGCGCCGCCCCTGAGTCGCTCGCCTATTGCTGCACTTGACGCTGACCGAGCGCCCGGCGCGAGTTTCGACCACCGTCGCGAGAGGGCCACGTTGCATAGCAATAACCCACGCGCAAGAATGAATTTCATTCATAGAAGTAGGGTTCTGCGGAGGTCTTCAGCATTTTCTAGAATTCGAGCTCGATAAAGATCTCTATTCCAATATTAAACATATTCTTGTGAAGCGAGCCTCTCGGGTCTTCACGCTATCCCGCAAAAGCGAGCTCGTTACCTTCGAGCCTTCGTGAAGCAGAGCGAGCCCCATTCGGGCCTCTGTGGTAATTACTTCCTAACAACAAGAGGGCATACACACTGCCACGGAAGCGCTCCCATCCCCCTCGCATACTACAGGGACTTCCGACAGAGAAGATGGAAAAGCCGTTCGATCTGAGTATTACTCTCCTCCCTCCGTGGAAGCTTATACCGCTAGAACTCCCGCGAGAGAATATCCTTGTTAGGAATATTCTCTGGCGGAACCCTGCATCAACAAGCAGACGAGTACAAGCACCTTATAGCCACCAGTATCATCGCTACCGCTGCCTAAAGAATTGCGGGAGTTGGAAATCGAGTCGCCGATTAGCCTTCTGCCAGTGACGCCCGTACAATACGTCGAGGGAATACACTGGGACGAAGGAATAGGAGGAGGATCAACTCGCAGTTAACACTCCAGCTCTTTGGGACCGACTCCGACTCCAAGGACTCTGAGGAAGAAACATAATACACTAGCTCACACACACACACACACACACACACACACACACACACACACACACACGCGCGCGCGCGCACGCCAAGTCACGAACACACACACACACACACCTTACACGCATCGCAGGACGCCATAATAAATAGTATAAGTACCGAAAGGTACCTCTATACATAGTGTATAAAGCTGAATAAAGGATAATATATTTTAATTTGTGGAACCTCCTTAATTAAGACATCCTTCCACAAAATATTTAAAAAACATTGTCTGCTGATTGAGGACGTGATATATATATATAAAAAATATATTATTATATATATATATATATATAATGCCAAAGCATTCCAAGAATAGGAAGGAAATCCGCGAAACGCATAATCTTTATAATTATTACAACCATCTCGAATTTAATAAAGTACATAATATAAGTAAATTATGCACAATAATGAAGAATTACTCAAAATAGGGCATTATTACTTGAAAGAGTAGGCATTCTCCTATGGGAAACGGTATTAATTTTATTTTATTAATTTCACTTTTTTAAAAAAAAATCGAGGAAGATATAATAAACAACAAATCGTAAAATTTATTTCTTTTGCGGCTACTTAACTAGCTAAACTAAAAATCTAAAATTTTACACAATAGATTGTATCCTCAAACCTCAACCATTAATCTTAGTAAATTTCGTCAAAATTTGGAATGTTTTGGAAAATGGATGATTCACTTTCATGTGAAATACATATATAACATTATTTCTTTGATTGATTTCATAATCAATTATTTGTACGCAAAATAATGATATTAAATCTTTTTTGACAGAAACGTAAATCTATTATTTAACAAATTTCGATTGCATTCTTCAGCGACACTCCCCTTTTAATTACATGCGGAATCGTTTTCGGGACCATACTGGAAATAAAAGAATAAGAATAAAAACTAGACATTTTTGAAACACAAATCGTGATAAAACGAATTAGATGTATCTGCAACTTACGTGATACAATCGATAATTGGACAGACGGATAAGCAAAGCGTACAACCGGTGCAATCATTCGTCACTGTTGGGATATGGGTGTCGGGATCAAAGGTGATGGCCTGATATCCGGAATCCGCGCAAGCCATATAACACTTGCCACAATTTATGCACATGTCCTGGAAATAATAGCAAGTAAATACAATATTGCATTTTAACAATAAAATAAATTGAGTGATTAAAACATTATTTAACATACATCGTCAATCAAGGCGACTACTTGTTTCCTGTTGTCCAATTCATTGTAGCTGCCAATATGAATTAATGCTTTACCGATTATGTCCTTAACAGTAGGTATTGACGCAATTGGTCCTGGAGCCGGTCGCATCGCCTTAACGATCTCGTTTAAGGGATTTGAGTTCGCTTTTAGTTCAGCTATCTTTTGTTCACGCAGCCTTTGATACTCGCCGAAATATGGTACATTCTGCAGAAGTATTTTTTTAATTATTTTATTTTATTTATGCTGATATTAATAATTGATACTTACTTTGCCAAGAGCGTGTTGCAAGGATATGGGTTTGCCCTTTTGGTGTTTGAACGTCGGTGGACTCTGTCCATCCCAATCTTTCGTCTGCACCAAGCTCTTTAGATATAACAACGCTTTCAAACCGGTTACGTAATCATCTATCAATGTGAAGTCTTGGTTTTGAATGGCACTACAGACCTATGTATTAAAAATATTCGTTAATTTTCTATTCACGATACTCGAGCAAAAATTTTTCTTAGAATTTTTTAGAATTTCTGTATAATTATATAACTTTTTAAAAAAGGTAATTATTTACAATCAGGAACTAGCGAATCTAAACATTCATCAAGGAGGAAGCCATTAGTGATTTATATTAAATGAAAAAAAAATGTAGAATTAAGAACCAGACTGATGGTGGCTAAAAATTCTTCTGATGGAATCTTTATCTTTTTTGACATATGGTCCCATCTCTTTTTAACACCATTTAACACCAGTTCTACTGGAATGTTAGTGAATAAAGACACTACATCAAGTGATGTAATTGGAATCAAAATACAATGGATTTCATTTAGTTTCTCGATCAAATAGAAGCCATTTTTTATATAACTAGGAGCTTCCGGTATACTATTAACAATAATGTTATGTAAGAATAAGGATAGAAAACACAATGGACTATTAATTGAAGAAACAATAACCCTTAGAGGATGCCTAGGTTTATGGATTTTCGATAAATCATATGCTCTAAATAGATTATCATCAGTCATAATCAGTAATTTCCTATATGTGGAATCAATAAAGCCACTCTTTTTCCATCTCATTAGTAAAGAATGTAATTCGGAAGTCAACTTAGTTGTACTTTGTCTATTATTATATATGTATTCATGTCAGAAAAATTCGTTTTTTAACCGAATTTAAGTGATTGAAATCAGTGTAACATCTATTCAGAATCTGAGTAGAATTATTTCTAACAAAATTAATGACATTCTTTAATCTATCGCTTATTTAGTTTTTAATATTTTTAATAAATTCTATAACTGTTTTGTCAAGATTGTTTTTACTAATAGGTAGTCCCAAATCCCTCACTTAGTTGTAAGAGAAATTGGACCTCATTAGGAATGTCAATATCACTCAAATGAACCAACCAGTTATTCTTCAAAGTATGTAGAGGAGAATCCTCTTCAAATTCCTTTGAAATATTTCAGACAAAGTTTATTAATTTTTTTCCGTAGAGAGAGAGAATCCAAATATCTAATATTTTATAGGAAGTTTATTTGAAATTTTAATGTTACCAACCCCACCCTCTTTCAATGGGAGAGGGAGCGGATTTTTGTTACAGTTAGAAAGATCCCTCGAATATATGAAACTTTCTCATAAACAATTTTTTGATAAGAAAAATATTTTTAGAATTATTAGCTTGTAACGCTTTACATGGACCACTCTGTATATATTACTAGATTTCATTATATGAATATTAAAGATAGTACTATTTGTATTCTTTATTTTATTTGATATGGGATTTAACTTAGTCCAAGTTGTTGATATCAAATATTTTATACAAATAATACATATTATATCAACTCTCAGTATCCGCAAAAGTTAGTGTAACCCCTCCTCCCACCCGATTTTCAATTCAGGCATTCGAATTCGCTTTGAGCAGTGGCGCTGAGGCTGTGGAAGGAGGGGGGGAGGGGAGAAGGGAGGATCTGTACCACCTCTATAATTCCTTTGCTTAATGATTTTAGTTATGGAGTTGTAACTGTGCAAAATGCGTGTCGGGATTACCCTAACCCCTTGTTTGTACAACGTCAGAAAATCCGGACTTACTGCAAAATAATTGAAAAAACTGTTGCGAATGCTCTACCAAAAATAACGTTTTGTAAAATATAATATATTTACAATAAAACTTGTATTATATATGTATATTTGAGTATATTTTATCAAAAATGTAAAAAAAATAAAAATGTAATACTTTTTCCCTTTAAGTCACCATTTTTTATTAATAATTTTATTAATAAATATTGTAATCATTAATATTAAATATAATGATAAATTATTAATATTTATAACAGAAAAACGATAGCACTTTTTTTTATTTCTATCAAAATTCAAAGATTTTCGGTTTATGATTAGTTTAAATAAAATTAAAAAATCACTTATCTTCAGTTTACAAACAAAAAATATTGTTTTTAGAACAAATCGCAAAAATGCTTTTAGTTTTTTCTTGAAGTTCAACTCATTAGCGCTGTTGATTTATCTATAATAAAATCTACAAATAAAATCTTTTTTATTTATTTGACAAAAATATGAGAGTCTGAAAAAATTCGTTTTTCTCACGTTTCTTTCTGATTCCTTTTTACTTATTGTAAAATATTTCTTGTGGTACGATAGTTTCGACTTTCTAACTAAAAAATTCTTTTTTTCAATCTTTAAACGACAGATTTAAAAAAAATTAAAATCGATGCACTACAATCTGAAATACATGCAAAAGAAAATGCTGGGTTAGAAATACCTCGATGTGGGCAGATAGAAACTTTTTTTGAAATGTGAGTTAATACTTAGGATTAATATTATTTATTTAATTTGGTATAGGATTTAACTTGGCATCAGTTGTTGATATTAAATCATCTTTTATACAAATACATCACTAGAATTAAATAAATAACATAGACAGTACCCATTTGGGTCTTAATTTTTAATTTGATATAATAATTTTTTCGAGAAGTAATAATTTTTGACAAAGAATTAAAGTTGCCATTACTTGGATTAAAATAAGAATATTTTTAATAAGAATATCTTTGAAGAAGAATTAAAACTACTATTATTTGTTGTATTATAATAAAAAGATATATAACGTATTACTTAGGTTTTATTCGAGAAATATGTATATTGCTAGTGCTTTTTTTTACCTTTTTTAAAAGGTTAAATTAAATAATTAAAAGTTTCTCAGATTTCTTACATAAATTAATGCGTTTTTTCAGAAATGTTGAGTAAATATATTTTTTTCAGAATTCTTTATGTATATGTATATCTATATGTGAATTTTAAAATATTCTAAAATTTCTCATTGTATAATTTCCAAAGAAAATTTAAATATCATAAAAGTTTAAAATTTAAAAGTTTATTTTTCAAAAATTTTCATTAAAACAATATAAAATTTTTGAAATATCTTTGAAATATTGATATTATGAGACTTTATAAAAATTGTTATCATTAGGGTAATATTATAAAATCAAAATAATTTTTAAGGTACAATTTTCATTTTGTTATAAAATAATTTTTCTGGATGTCATTTATCGTTTCCCAAATGTTGAAATTTTAAAATAATGAAAAACAGTAATAACAGAACAACAAAAAAGGAGAAATTCATGATTTAAGAATAAAGATAAGAATGTTATGAAAAATTCGACGATACTTGAACAACTGATGCACCGCAATGTAGGAACTGCAAAGCGACGTCGGCCGAATCGACGCCACCAGTGCCGAGTATCGGGAATCCTGGAAGATGCCTTGAGATTATTGAAATTGCTTTCAAGGCTTGGGGCCTAGTGGCGTTTCCTGACACTCCGCCATATGTTGTGGATTTATTGAGGCCGACCGCCGGCCATGGAGTCGCATCAGCATGCAATCCCATCAATCCGGATATTGTGTTAATAGCAGTAACGCCATCAGCCTTGCCTTTATCACAAGATAGGTTATTAATTACAACATAAAGAAAAAAGTAGCAAATATGATGTGAAATCAATTTGACCACATATGGTCTCTAGAACGTTAAATTGCCAAAGGAGAACGACTGCGGACAAATCTTCTAGATCGGCAGGAGATTTTTTTCTATCAGGATAAGTATTATATTAATTAAAATGTACAATAAGAATCTTGATAATGTTTTTTAAGCTTTCACGGGTGTTATCTTCAATGATACCAGAATGTTTGCGGATTATCGCCGTGTTTCTATCCATTGCTAATGCCCAGTAATGCATTAGCAATGGATAGAAACATAGCGATAACTCGCAAATCTTCTTGTATCTAATAAGAATCTTATTGGACAGTATATTTGAAAATTCAACAAATGGAAATAATGGCCATAACAGTCGAAGCTAAATCTTTTAATGCTCAAATAATTTAATGTAAATTAACATATATTATATACGTACATATTATATCATTATATTCATTTGAATTGCGCCGAAATCTTTTCGGACTTAAACACGTAGCTAAACTGTATAGTAAAATAATATTACAATTAAATTTTTTATGCTTAATAAGCCATCTAGTAAAGAAATCTTAATATGCTAGAAATCTGTAAATAGATTTATTTATTGCGAAAAATATTACCTCGGCTAGAAGTCGAACCCGGATCTTTTGCAATTCGTACGAGCGTTCTAAGCTTTTAGACTATCGAGGCCTTAGCAATATTTTTTGCAATAATTAGTAATAAAAAAATTTGAATCATGACTTTGATCAGAATTATTCAATTAATTATTTCCTAAATCTCTATTGCTTTCTGGGAAAAACAGAATATTTCCGATCGGAATCCATTCCGACTTGTTCTATGATATAAGTGTTCTGGAGATGATTCCGTTTCGTCAAGCTCCGGTTGACGAGAGTATAATAACAGTCAAAAAGATTATAATCATATGTGCATTATCTCAAGAGTGATCTAAAATGATCTCTGGTCGATCAACGTATCCTTTTATTGTATAATAATGATGATTTCACCATAGTATGAATGTTTAAATATGAGATCTACTGTTGACGTTTTGTAAATATTATTTTAATGCGAGGTAGTCCAAGTATGCTGTGAAAAATAATCACATGAATTTTGCCGTTTGTTCAACGCTTAAAATCTGCGTGTTTCAAACTGTCATTCAAAAAGTGTATCAAACATATCTATCTAAGCAACAATTCGACATTCAAAATATATCTAGAAAAGTCCGTCTACTACTCTGTTACATGCCGTTATGTTATATTAGTATTGTGTTATATGATGATTTCAGCATCTTACTGTTAGTATTAATTAAATTATTGTGAGTTGAATCGATTTGTCACTGTAATAAGTAATGCCATCATAAATTATAATCTATTGGGTATGGGAATAAGTTTCCGCCCATTGCAGAAAGATGTCGTTAGTAGCATTGCTCGTGTGTTTGATAGAATGGCAAGACATGTTTTTGAAAGGTGTGTGTCCAAACTTTTGAGCCCAATAGATGGCATTCGTTCGAAGCGTAACAAAGAATAACTTTTTTTTGCGTTCAAGATGTCGGAATTTATTCCAAAAAAGCAACATTTGCGGGAAGTTTTACTCCATTATTTTATTTTAAAGAAAAGTGCTGCGGAAACGCATCGTTTGCTCGTAAATATTTACGGTGAGCATGCTCCATCGAAATCTAGTTGTAAAGAATGGTTTCGGCGATTCAACAGTGGTGATTTTGACGTGCGTAACAAAGAACGCGAAGGTGCACCGAAAAAATTTGAAGATGCAGAATTGCAAGCATTACTCGAAGAAGATTCATGTTTATCGCTCGATAGGTTAGCAAAAGAGTTAAATGTTGATAGATTCACTGTTGGAAAACGTCTACACGCAATGGGAATGAATGGTGCAAAAAGAAGGAAATTGGGTGTCATACAAATTGAAAGAGAGAGACATGGAAAGACGTTTGATCATCTGCGAGATGCTTCGTCAATGACAACAAAGGAAGGTTTTCTACATCGTATCGTAACTAGCGATGAAAAATAGATCTACTACGATAACCCTAAACGCTTGAGACATGGGTGATGCCAGGTGAACCAGGTCCATCAACGCCAAAACGAAATATCCATGCTTCGAAGATTATGTTGTGCATCTGGTGAGATCAAAGAGATATTATATATTATGAGCTCCTCAAACCATCCAAAACCATTACGGGCGATCGTTATCGGCTTCAACTGATACGTTTAAACCAAGCTTTGAAAGAAAAACGAACGGAATGGGATAATAGACACAACAAGCTGATTCTGTTACAGGACAACGCTAGGCCACACGTTGCAAAACCGGTCAAGAAATACTTAGAAGGAGTAAAGTGGGAAATTCTGTCCCCCCCGCTGTATTCACCGGACATTGCCCCTTCAGATTTCCGTTTGTTCCATGCAGTCGGCCCTTTCTGGAGAACGATTCAATTCTTATGAACGTATCAAAAAATGGCGTGATGAATGGCTCGCTTCAAAAAAACCAGATTTTTTTCGTTCGAGGAATCCGTTTATTACCGGAAAGGTGGGAGAAAGTTGTCGCTTCCGAAGGAGCATATTTTGAATAAACTCACTTATATAGATTTGTTTAAATAAACACATTTTTTTCATTTAAAAAGGGCGGAAACTTATTCCCATACCCAATACATAAAATGATTACTATAGGGCGTATAAGTCTTTTACACGCCCTAGTAGTTATTTCATGATACATACGTGAAGCATACAAAGTGCGCAGATTGAATTCAGTGCACTAAATGCAATAAACGCATTATATGAAATATATATCTCATGTCATAATACTTGTAATATATGTAGGAAGATTGTAATTATTATTTATATTTTCTATACATTTTTATTCCTTAATAAAACTATATAAACACATTTTATACGTCATTTTATTGTCATTTTACGTCTTATTTATATGCATTATTTGTATGCATTATTTGTATTATATGTAAACTTTTCATGAGCCGTACATATCCCCTCCCTCCTCTTTCTATGAGTAGTCATATATCCTACTCTTATGGAATGTACGGCAAAAATGCAAGAGTTTCAAAAAGTTTATTTTTTAATACGAAAAATAAATACTTCGAATTTCTAATATAATATTTTTTTCATTGTAGTAGCAAGACAAAGTTTTTACTGACATACGCGCGCGCGCGCGCGCACGCACACACACACACACACACACACACACACACACACACAGGCATAAGATTCTTCTAATATATGATCTTTATAAAAGTTTAATTAGCTTAAGAGAATATAAAGTTTTCAAAAAATCGAAAAAGAATTTTTTTTTGGAACTGATGTCTTAAAAATTGCTCTTGAAAGATTTTTATAAAATTCGAAGTATTTCTCGAATTATATGGGGGAACGGGCGCACATTACTGAATATGCAATACTAAAATTTTAAACGTGTTTTTCTCAAAACTATTCTTTATAACTGGCGGCGTCTATAATTCGAATAATTTTTAACCGATCGATCTCAGCTTTGAACATTAGCTTCACAAAACGAATAATTTTTGTTGAGCGTAGGGATTTTTTTTAATTGTTAGTTTTCAAAGAGCGAAATGTTTAAGAAGTAAAATGTTAATTTTTTTAACCGCTGTCATTTTGTACAAAAAAATTATTTTAAAAAATCGCTACGCTTAACTGAAACTACACTCACATAGATCTAAAATTTTCATTTTAGATAATTACAACTTGAGTTCTTTACACCGCCAATGGACCATGTTTTTTGAATACGGAAGTCTAATGTTGTGCAACATTATCATATATTTATTTTTTGACATAAAAATTCTTAAAATGTCTTCAAAATGTGCCCAATTGATATACTAATTCATATTTTTTCTGAAACTTATAGTTACTTAAAAAAAAATTGACGGCTTTTTTCTAAAAGTTTTTACTCTTATACCCCCTTAAGAATTTAATACGTGCTTAAAATTACTTTGCGCACAAATAACTTACATTTAATATTGTGTATAAGAAAAAATATTTAATTAGATATGATTAATGTTATTATTTTACATATGCATAGCTTTAATTTTATTTTTTAATATTTTAAAATAAATTTAATTACCTTCGTAAGCTGCTTTGGCAATGGAAAGAATATCAGTAATGTTGGGCGTCAATTTTACGAAAAATGGTATTTTAACTGCTTCACGAACCCATCTACAGATATTTCTAACCAGTTCAGGATCCTAAAATCAATTTCATTTTTTTATTACTCTCATATTACAAGTCGTAAACGGGAAAACGAAAAAATTAAATGGACAAACCTGTCCACAGGCCAGACCCATTCCAGACTCACCCATACCATGCGGACAGGATAGATTTAATTCCAAGCCATCAGAACCAGCTGTTTCCGCTTTTTTTGCCAACTTCGTCCAATCAGCCCTGTTATATGTGCACATAATACTCGCAATGACAACCTGTGCAGAAATATGCGATAAAATTTAACAAATAAAAGCTTGGTCGCTAACAATTAAAAGAAGTTTCGATAATTATTTATTACAGAGAACTCTCAATGATTTTGATCATATATGTTGTCAAGATCATAATTAGCAACTTTGCCTTAACAATTAAATGGAGGTCTCTTATAGTTTTGATAATAAGAGTTAGGACAATGTGATCACAACTTTTGATTGGTTACCAAAATCCGCATATATAATAGTCAACGGCGAGTTTCAAATGAGTTGCAATAGCCAACATAACCGCGAGTTACAAACAAATTGCAGAAAATCACATATTTGATGTTATTCTCCGTTTTTTCATTATGTAGCGCTGGTAATATATCGTTTACACGAGGTTTGTTAAAGAATGTTATTTCTAATCATACCATGCTCATTTAATTGAATTCACCCTGGTGAAAATTTTTCTCATAATTTTTATACGATTGGAACATGTTTTAGAAATACTCAGAAATATTCGTAAAGTTTATATCTTTTCTCAGAATTTTTCATACAAGTGAATTCTGAAATTTCTCATCTCATAATTTTTAAAGAGTATTTTTAAATTTTTTAGATTTTATAACATTTCATCACAAATTATACTTACAAAAATTCTTAAAAATCTTACGATATTTCATAATTAATATATATGAAAAATTCTGAAAAAAGATATAGATTTTCTGAGAAATGTTCGTATAAAAATATGAAAAAGTTATAAAATTATAGAGAAATTCTGAAAAATTATACGAAAAAAATTTTACCAGGGCAGTTATGTTTTTAACGTGTTATATTTTCTATATATCATCTGTATTCTTTATTTGTCAGTAGTAATCAACTTACAGATGACAGAATCAGTATTATCAACGTAAATTTGGCTATTAATGACGGCGGTTTATTCTAACTCGTATTACAAAACACTAGTTTTTAAAATATTTAGAGTTTTTAAAATGCAATTTTAGTATCATGCGTTTATATGATCTTATATGCGAAACAAGATCCTTGCCGAAACCTCTGTACCTCTCCCCCTAAGGGCGTTTAATTTTCCACGCGAAGCAAGGGCTATCCAAAATCTTCCTTCCCCCCTCCTCACAATCAGTGTCATGATCCTCCGAGAGGGCCGCGTGTGTTGCGGTGCTCGACGCGATGGGATGAGGAGTGTTGCGGCGTGTTCCACGCAGATGGTCACCTGTTCCCTTCTCCAGTCTCTTTCATGCTGGTATTCCGCCTCTTCTTTTGTTACTACGCTTGCAAAAGGAGGAGATGATTCGCCAGGATTCCTCAGAGTCTGAGCACAAGAATTGTCGTAACATTTACTTATGTTAAACTTAAGTTATAAACATAAATAACGCACAAGCTTTCACGTATGACATACAACTTATTGCCATGTCTCTAAGAAACAGCAATAAATCGCATGTCATATGTCAAAACTTGTGCGTTGTTTAGATCTACAACTTAAGTTTAACAATAAGTAAAGTACGACAATTCTTGTGCTCTTTACTTCGTAGCATCTCGCTCATAAATATCGGAACGGGAGCCGCAAGAGGTCCCTTTACATTACTACAGTTCTCCGCACGCATCCTCCCACATTGGACACGAGTTCAGTGTATGCTGTACGAAGTTCCGATCAGCCGCGCAATGGTGACACATTGTGCTATGCGCTCTATTCCAATTCACTTGGAAATCTCAGCACACAGTGAAGTCCACCTCTCCTCCCTGCCTAGGGGCGTCCGAATTTTCACGTAAAGCGACGTCCACCCTTCCTGCATAAAGGGGTGCGACTTTTTACGCGAAATAAGATCTATCCACATAAAAAAGCCGTATTTGTACATTACTTCCAATTGTCAGTACAATATAGTATACGTAACGTAAGACAGTTGTTAGTATAGTACAGTATAGTAAACGGAACTACAGATTTTAAGTACTGGTAATCAACTGTCAGTAATATACGAACATGGTCAAAATCGTGCGCCTCTAGGCAGAAGGAAAAGTGGAGTGGATCTTGTTTCGCGAAGAAGATCGTATAGATGCATGATACTAAAATTGTATTTTAACCCTAAGATCGGTATGCATAATCTGTTCTTAATCTCTTGATCGTCTCAAATAATGTCTTAAGACGCTACTACTCTCTGATTGGCTGATGATCTTAAGCACCAGCTCAAGAGTATCTTGAAGTTTGAACAACGTCTATGGATTCCATCCTAAACATTTTTTTATTGACAAAAAAAATAAGAGGAGAGTCTTTAGGTACATATGTTTATTAGGCTCTAACAGTTACAAAATTTCCTTTAAATCTAAGTCTGTTATAAAATTTTATTATACGTCTTAGTCCACTGTCTATAATTGATATAATTCATTCATAAAAATGAGATTGATTTTCAATACTGAGATATAAACAATTAACAGTTGCACTTTTTATACGTGTCGCCTGTACAAAATTCACGAAAATGTGTTTTTTTTTTATATGACCTAAACTAACAGTGATATATTAAAAACGGTGAAAGAACATGAAACGAATATTGTAAAAAAGAATCATAATTTTTGATCGTTTAATTAAGAAAATAGAGTCGAAAAGAATACAACGTTTCGATTTTCTTTGGCATATGGTGGCGACTGAAGGAAGTGATGAGGAGTAGAGGGAACGGCCAGCGAGCATCTGACAGCACCGGCGTTTGTCTACGTTTATCTGTATTCATTGGCTGCATTCAGCGAACTCAACAGTTGAATGAACGCTCACTGCTATTGATGTATTTTTCCAGATCTAAAATGCTGATTGGATGATTTAAAAGAACACACCAAGTAATAGTGAGCGCTAACTCAAATATTTAGTCTGCTGAACGCAGCTATTTTCTTTCCACTTGTGTGTGCGGTCTTGGACAGGCACACAATCGAAAGTGCTAATAATCAATATTTAAATTTATAACTTAATAATTATTGTTGAAAAGAGTGTTTTCTCAAACACATTCATTATTTTCTGTCGGTTTGCTCTCTCTCGCGGGAATGAGATATCACCACCGAGCGCCGCGACTAAACTTTTGGACGGTATTGTCGCGAAAACTATCTTAATCAAATTATTATATGAAATGTAAATAGAGTACTAATACTATTATACTTTCTCCTTTAACATTAAATAATGAATATATTGTATATAATTATTTTAATTTTATTATTTGCGTAAACTCTATTCCATATATTCGAGCAAAAAGTATTGTATACCTTTGTAGGAAAGTCTCGTTTTAGTTCAGTGATGCTGCCACACCAATAATCGGCGGTTTTCTCGGATATTAACTCAATATTCAAGAAGCTACCCTGCTCAGGTCCGTAATGATGACGAGACGTAGTGCCTTTGACAATGCGCGGCGATACATTGGTGACGAGATCCTGTGATGAAATATTTTAAGAATAAAATATTACGTCATTTATGATTCGGCGATTAGTTCTTAATAAAATGAAATTGGACCTTGTCCAAGGAAAAAGTTTTTGTGATTGCAAAGGCCCAGCCGGCCTCAAAAGCTCGCCGGATCATTGCGCTGGAGGTGCAAGGTGGTGCAGATGCAAGACCGAAAGGATTCTCGAATTTTATTCCACATATCTCAACACTAAGGTCAACATTGTCAACGGCGGTGTGGAACTTTGGTAATTGCGGAGTTTCTGGTACTGTCAAATCATAGAATTCCTACGCAATGTAAAAATTAAAATATAAAATAACATTACGTCACTTAGAATATACGTATAATATTTCCTATAAGATTCTACACTTTTGCGACATTCTAAAGAATTGGAGATTTTGTTGACAATTAATGAAGAAAAAATTTTTCTCAGATTTTTTGTACAATTTTTCAAATTTGTCGCAGAATTTCTGCATAAGTTTATAACTTTCTCACATTATTTATATGAATTGGAACACTTTTTAGAAAAACTTACAAGTAATACTATGCCATACACCGATTTCCCTGAAACTGTGCATATATGTAGTACATTGAAAAATATCTGACATTGAAAAATATCTGATACGTATTTTTTTATATTTGCCCAAAAGCTATTTTAAGATAGAAAACGCGTCCTTATGAATGTATAAATTCAGTATTTGACGAAGTACTCGTACGTTTGTTACAGAATGGGGTATACAGTGATTTTCGAAATTGCTGAATCCAAATCTGCTCCTAATTTTTGAGAATTCAATATGATGGAATCAATATGATGGATTTGATTTTTTTTAATGAAGACAGCAAGATATTCTCGTTCTCTGCCGAACCCGAGAATAACCGTGGAAGTAGCAAGAAACTATTCCTTTTTTTTAATTTTTAATTTTTTATTTGTTTTTGTTTTTTGTTCTTTTTAAATTCATAAAAATAAAATATTCATAAGGACGCGTTTTCTATCCTTAAAATGGCTTTTGGGCAAATATAAAAAAATACGTATCAGATATTTTTCAATGTACTACATGTATGCACAATCTCAAAGAAATCAGCGTATGGCACTTGGATCGTGTTACTTGTCAGAAAGTCTACATCTTTTCTCAGAATTTATATATTTATATATGTTAATAATAAAAAATATCCTAAGATTTATAAAAAGATTTGGGAAAAAGTATCAATTAGGGGACCAAACTTCAATGACCTTGATCTTGACATATATTGTCAAGATCATGACCCTGAGTGACCTCCAATAAATTTTAGCTGTCACTCATCCTTTGTTAAAAAGCATAGCTTCATTAAAAAGTTATAAACAAAAGATGTTTAAGAAATAATGTCTCATTTCTGTTGTTCCACCCCATCCCCCCCTCTACTTGGGGGCTCACGACTTTCATCTGAAGCGATTCTCATCCTATCTCTCCCGCTACTTGGGAGCGCACGACTTTCACACGACTCTCACCCTACCTCCCCTCCTTCTGCTATTGAAGTGAGAAATTACTTATCTAGTGACAATGCGTGTATCAAAGCAAAAAGGATCGTTTTTATTTCACCGTTGCATAACTCGATGAAAAAAATTGTACAGAGGTCTATAAAAACGCAAATTAAAGGTAAAGATTCGCTCTTTCGAAAACTATTATATCAATCCCATTTGAGTGTAATTTTTAATTGGCGCCATGGAACTTTGCAAATTTCGTAAAAAATTTTGAGATTTTATGCATCTTCATTTATATTTGTGTAACTTTACATAATATCAGTACGATCGTTTTTTTAAAGTACTGGTCTGAAAAGTAAAGATTTCAAGCTTTTTTAAACGACTTTTTAACGACTCGCTACGATGATTTTTTACTGAGTTATTGCTATTTGAAGAAATTAAAAATTGGCCCATTTTTTTGCCTGTAAGTGTATTTTCAAATAAATTTTCTGCTTTATGAACATGCAGTAATTCATTTCTTTAAAACAGTAATTCATTTCTTTAAATTTACTGCTTTAAACAAACAAATTCTTCGTATTAAAAACAAATGTTCTGCTAAAACAGTGAATTTGTATTCACGTGGAAAATCACGCGGCAATAGAAGAGATGGAATGCAATAGGTGGATGAAGTTTAGAATAGTTTCTGATGTTATTTATAGCCGAAATAAGACATTATTTTTTCAAACTTTTTGTTAATAACTTTGTAATGAAGGACGTGTGACGGTTAAAACTTGTTGGAGGTCACTGAAGGTCATGATCTTGACAACATATATCAAGGTCAAGGTCATTGGAGCTTGGCTCTAATCGATACTTTTACCGAATTTTATTCTAAGTATAATTCCTGATTTTGATAAAATGTTACAAAATCTAAAAAAATCAAAAATATCTTTTAAAATTATAGAATGAGAAATATCAAAATATTTCAAATATATGAAAAATTCTAACAGAAGATGTAAATTTTTCGAATATTTCTGAATATTTCTAAAAAATATTCCGATTTATAAAGCTATGAGAACAATTTTCATCAGATATTATACTATAACTATACCAAACACACCTGTATGTATTTGTGAATATACCATGCTGCAGTCTTTCCATCATTCACGGATTCCACGGTAGTCTGGGCAACACCCGCAAGATCACCTCCACAGAATACACCTGGTACCGAGGTCATCATCGTAGTATTATCTACGTCCGGTAGATTCCATTTGTTCATCTTAACCGGTATCATAGCACGCTTCACTATTTTTATAATAGAAAGAATTTGGTAATTATTTGGTTTAACAGACATCACGCCGGTAATCTTGACCTCGGTTAAAGTCATGTTCATGACTTTAAGTAACCTTCAAAAGCTTTAAGATAATTATTCATTCAAAAGTTATTAACAAATAAAGTTTAAAAAATATTGTCTTATTTCTATCATATACATATTAAAAAATACTCCTTCCTGTCTAGGAGTGTTCGACTTTCCATGTGAAGGAAAGTCCATCTTATTTTCCCCTGCCTAGAGACATACTTGTGGCTTTCTACGCGAAACAAAGTCCATCCCATCTCCAGCCAAGGGGCGACTAACTCCCAAGATACGGATTTCCACCTTGTAATAGTCGTGGAGCTGGGACCGCGGGGTGCACATAGTCTAAATGCCCTACAATAATAAAGCACGAAGCTTAATTTTAATCTGTTGACACAGATAGCTTTCGCTGCCAAATAGTCTGAGACCAGAATTGACCATACACGGTGCGCGTTTGATGTCCTTGAGGGCCGTGAGCTCCCAGATCATGACGAGTAGTGAGGCTTACGGCCGCCAATGACACCATCCGCTCAAGGGTAGATTCGTGGGCGGCCAACTAAAAAGAATCGCGCTAGAATATGAACTGCCTGGAATTGTATATATATATATATAGCGTAAGGGGAGTTACATCTCGAACGGTGCCTCCTGGATATCGGACGAACTCCAGAAGGACGTAACCAAGCTCTAGGCGTTCACAGCTCTGTCCGTGAGATCGTGCGACCACAATACTCGTGAGACTCGTATGAATAGAAGTAAAAAAAAGACTTTATTTAACCAAGTCCTCTAGAGAGTGGCTTAGAAGTGACCGGAGGAGACAGACACAGCGAAACCAGGTCTAAAATTCGATCTCGTTTCAGCGGCGCCACTAAATGCTATAAAAGGGAGAGAAATCAGGCAAAAGCTCAAGTTTATCTTTCTTTAACGTCTTAGTCTCAACGGGTGGAAAGGGGAGGAGGGAGATGGCTGTGGCTGGCACGAAAAAATAAGTCAAACCGAAATACTGTACCCCCAGCCTAACGAATAATTGCCCGGGCAAGAAACTTAACCATCGTTGAATTGTATCTTGAACCAGAAGTCGTATTTCCAGACGACCAAAGGCAATCAGGATTGCCCTTGTTAGCAGAGGACTATCCTAAAAACAAACTGGATGCCAGTGAGATCAGGAAACCGATCAGGCGGCTTATCCTTGAATTTTCTGAGAGTGTGCTTGCACCTATCTTCACTGGCACCTGGGAGAGAAATGGCGCAGTTATCAATCGGTGGAATGGCTGAAAAATCAATCTACCGATTTTAAAATCAGAAGTTTGACTCTACATGTGATGTCGACCGGGAACTACCCAAGCGACATCGGGTAGTGGTACATGTGGAGGAACTTGATTTGGCTACTGAGGAGATCATCAAACTTTTCGATAGACAAAAAACAGATCAGAACACTAAGGGGTAGATCTTGAAGGGGAGACGAAAGTAGGGACGCTAAGAGCACTTACTTCGCTGTCCTCCGCTGAAGCGGAGTCCCTCCGGGCCTTCCTGCAAGTCCTTAAGACCTAAATCTTTTTGCGATCTGAGAAATCTTTTGCGCTTGACAAAAAAAAACATAAAGAGGAGAATGTTGCAAGAACAGAGAAGATTATCTAAAATTCGCGAGACTCACAGCATCAGTACAAATTAATATAGCAAAGTCGTCTTCTGGTTTCTAGCCAGGTTAAAATGTAGACAACAATTATTTAGGAGCTAATAACTCTATTAAAGGATTGAGTGGCTGCGGAGCTTTTTATAAGGCAGACAAGATAAAGATTTGCGTTGTGATTAAAGAACTAAATGCAATTTTTATATCATAACTCAGCAGCGGAAATATCACCGTAGTACAACTAAATCCAATCTAGACAAAAATAAATACATAAATGTAAAGTCGGTCTGTATGCTCTACGATTTCTATGAATTACTACTATCAAAGAAAATCGAAGAACTAGTGGCCTATACAAAAAAGAGGAAATTTGAACTCCTCTTGGGCTGCAATGCAAACTTCCATCATATAAGGTAGGGAAAATTTCCATGAATTCATTATGGGCACCGAATTAACCATCCTAAATACAGTATTAGAACCCATCTTCATAGACTGTAGAAGACAGGAGGTAATAGATATAACCATATGTACGAAAAGAATGGCAGGCCTAGTAAGGGAGAATGTTTGGAGAGTCCTCGGGCTCAGACCATAGATAGAGTATGTTCTTATTCATATAGAAAATACAAAATAGGGACATAAAAACTATGAACTGGGAAGTCTACAGGAAGGATCTAGAAGCCTTTCTAAGGTACACCAACCAGATTCCACTCCACAAAGAGCTTTGAAATCACGACATAATTTATAACATGATAAAAGAAGCTTACGAAGCAAATTGTCCTGAGAGATTGAAACATCTCCTTTCTAAAGGACTAAAACTTTCTGGTGGAGCAAGAAGCTCTCGAAGCACAGGTCAGGGATAAAAAAAATTCTTCAACAGAGCAAAAAGAAAAAAATTGACAGTGGAATGGAAGGCCTTTAGAAACGCTCAACGCTGTTACAATAAAGCGATAATTATCGTCAAAAAAAAAGCTGGAGAAACTTCAGCGAAAACATTGAGAGTGCTTTGGAAGCATTCAGACTGCACAAAATCCTCAAAAAGTAAGGACAATTCTTCTCGTTTGGACTATCTTAAGCTCCCAAACGATAATTACATCGAAACAATTGATGAAACACTTAAACATCTAATGTCTATCCATTTTCCAGGTTTTCGAGAGGAATCATATCGGATCCGTCAGGCAAAGGCTCAACCCAAGAGACAATACAAACCCAGGGAATGAACACTCAAAAGTAATACCTCATTGCGAGATGGAATGGATCAAAACCTTCAAGGCACCAGATATATATATATATATATATATCCTGTATTATTCAGGGAAGGACAGAGAGCCTTGATAGGCTCCGACTTCCTAACAAAAGTGCTTAGGATTAGCATAGTCATGAAAACATATTTCATCAGTCTGGCGTGGCACTAAGATAGTTTTTATACCCAAGTCAGAAAGAAATGGCCATATATAATCCAAAGATTACAGATCTATCAGTCTCACGTCTTTTATTTAGAAACTGATTGATAGGTACTTAAAAAACGGTCCTTTACTTATATGGCCATTAGACTCTTCCCAGCATAAGGAGGGCAGATCAATAGATACTGCTCTGCATTATCTTGTGAGCAGGATGGAGGTTTAAATGACTGCGAAGGGCTATACAATAGGTGTCTTTATTGTCATTGAGGGAGTTTTTGATAATAATACTTCAAATACATCAATCAAAGAAGTCGGAAAAGCACAAGATTCCGGAAGCGTCTCGTGGATTAAATGCAAAATATGCTGGCAAGAAGGAAACTGACTATCAGCCACGGCGATATACTATTAAGGGACGTCCGGTGATAAGTCCCGTAGGGGGAGGGTTCTCTTTATAATGCCTAATAGTGCATGAATTACCCATAAAATTGACATAATCAGACTTCTAGAGCTACAGCTACGCAAATGACGTGACCGTGGTAATCAGGAAAAACTTTCTTACTACTATCAAGGAACGCAGAAGATCATACAAAATTGGTGTAAAAGGAAACTGATGGTTTCTTCTAGTCAAGATCTCGAATATCGTCTTCACCAGAAAATACGAACCTGAACCCTTGGAGCTCTGGGATAAGAGGATAAATTACACTAGCTTGGTCAAATAGTAGTCACTGAGTACTCATCTAGATACGAAATTCAATTGGAGTTTAAACCTCGACGGAAAGAAAAACAAATGCTACATTTCTATGTGGGATTGTAGAAGGGCCATAAGAGCAAACATTTTAGCTTAAATCTGAGAGCTGCCTTATGGCTGTAAAAATAGTATTAATACTATGTGTCAAGATGAACATACATATGTTGCATTAGTTTGATGGCCTAAATGAAGAAGATGGTTTCGAAGAACCTGCATGAAAGCTTACAGGAAAGATACCTAAGGGGCCATGAGGGCCGCATCAACTGAGGCGCTGGAAGTAATCCTCCTTTCTCCATCCTTGAGTCAGATGATTATCAGCACAGCCAGACAGATAGCATATAGACTAATGTGTCAAGATGAATCAAAAGAGATCGAGTCATACGAGATTGAAATTTTTCGAAATGCCCTTTCACATTAAAGCAAAATAAAATCTCCAGAAAACATCAGCTGGAGGAAACCTTCAAAGTCCTTATATCAGTTAGGGAGGACTGGCAAGATCCAAATTTCTTAACCAATACAAACGTACACATTTGGTACACGGACGGATCAGAAACAAATGGTCTCTTCAGAGCAAGTATCTACATATAACACATATAAAAAATAAGAGCATAAAAACCACAGCACAAGTTATAGTTTGTGATATTTAATTATTATTACATTAATTAAAACATTAAACGTTTCGGCTACAATCTGGCCATCTTCAGTAATTCAATAATATTCTTAAAACGCAGAGTTACATCTAGTTGACATTAAATTCGACAGTCGAGAGTTGTAATTAAATAAACATATTCTTTTATATGTGAAGATGCTTCATACAGTAATGTTACAACGCCAATTGTCATATCAAGAAAAGTGTAGAACAAGAATTTCCAGATTCTAATTTAAATAAAATTGTATATATTAAAATCTTCTAGTCGGAATATAAAGAAATAGAATCATTACTTGTTTTACAGCAAAAAAACCAAACGATGAATCTCGAGCATTTTTTTTACACAATATGTAAAAGAAATACTCGAGATTCATCGTTTGGTTTTTTTGCTGTAAAACAGGTAATGATTCTATTTCTTTATATTCCGACTAGAAGATTTTAATATATACAATTTT